GAGTTAAGTGATATCTCATTGTAGTTTTTGATTTGCATTTCCCTGATGATTAGAGACGTTGAGCATTTTTTTCATATGTTTGCTGGCCATTATTCTGTCTTCTTTTGAAAAGTTTCTGTTCATGTCCTTTGCCAATTTATTGATGGGGTTGTTTGATTTTTTCTGGATGATTTTCCTGAGTTCTAAATAGATTCTAGTTATAAGCCCTTTATTAGATGTGTAGCTTGAGAAAATTTTCTTCCATTCTGTGGGTTGTCTGTTTGCTCTCTTGACAGTTTCTTTGGCTGTGCACAAGCATTTTAGTTTGATCAGGTCCCATTTATTTTTTGTCGATGCCGTGATTGCCTTTGGGGTTTTCTTCATAAATTCTTTGCCTAGGCCAATGTCTAGAAGAGTATTTCCAACATTTTCCTCTAGAATTCTAATAGTTTCACACCTAAGGTTCATGTCTGTTACCCAGCATGAGTTGATTTTTGTGTGAGGTGAAAGGTGTGGGTCTTGTTTCAGTCTTCTAATGTGGCTATTCAATTTTCACAGCACCATTTATTGAATAAGGATTATTTTCCCCAGTGTATGCTTTTGTCTGCTTTGTAGAAGATTAGTTGGCTATATGAGGATGGTTTTATATCTAGGTTCTCTGTTCTGTTCCACTGGTCAATGTCCCTGTTCTTGTGCCATACTCAAGCTGTTTTAATGACTATAGCCTTGTAGTATAGTTTGAAGTCTGGTAAATTGATACCTCGTATTTTGTTTTTATTGCCTAGGATTGATTTTGCTATACGGGGTCTTGTCTGGTTCCATACAAAGCATATAATTATTTTTTCTATATATGTGAAAAATTACGATGGTATTTTGATAGGGATTACATTGACTCTGTACGTCACTTTGGGTAGTATAGACATTTTAACAATGTTGATTCTACCGACCCATGAGCATGGTATATTCTTCCATCTGTTTATGTCCTCTGCTATTTCCTTCTTCAGTGTTTCATAGTTCTTCCTGTAGAGGTCTTTTACCTCCTTAATTAAATATATTCCAAGGTACTTTATTTTCTTTATTGCTATTTTGAAGGAAATTGAGTCTTTGATTGGTTCTCAATTTTACTGTTGTTGGCGTATATGAATGCCTCTGATTTCTATGTATTGATGTTGTATCCTGAGACTTTACCAAATTCATTTATCAATTCAAGGAGTCTCTTGGTTGAATCCTTGGGGTTTTCTAGGTATAATATCGTGTCATTGGCAAAGAGTGAGAGTTTGATCTGTTCTGCTCCCATTTGGATGCCCTTAATTCCACTCTCTTGTCTGATTGCTGTAGCAAGGACTTCCCTCACTATGTTGAATAGAAGTGGAGATAGTGGACAACCTTGTCTTGTTCCAGTTCTAAGTGGGAATGCTTTTACTTTTTCCCCATTCAGTATGATATTGGCTGTGGGTTTGTCATATATGGCTTGTATCATTTTTAGGTAAGCCCCATCTATGCCTATTTTGTTGAGCATTCTTGTCATAAAAGAGTGTTGAATTTTGTCAAATGCTTTTTCTACATCTATTTAGAGGATCATATGGTCTTTGTTTTCGCTTCTGTTTATGTGGTGAATTACATTTATAGATTTGCAAATGTTAAACCATCCCTGCATCCCTGGGATGAAGCCCACTTGGTTGTGATGGATTATTTTCTCGGCAAGCACCTGGATTCAATTGGCTAGGATTTTGTTGAGAATTCTTGTGTCTATATTCATAAGGGATATTGGTCTATAGTTTTCTTTTTTGTTGCATCCTTTCCTTGTTTTGGTATCAGGGTTATGTTCACAAGTTTTTTAAAAAACTAGGAAAAGAACAAACAAACCAAAACAAAACACAAGGAAGGAAACAATAAAGGTAAAGTAGAGGTTAAGAATAGGAAACAATAGACCTCATTAATAAATAAAAATCACTTCATTAAAAAAAACCAGAATCACCACTATCCAACTTGTCTAAGAAAAGAAGGGATAAAGCACAAATATACTAATTAAGAAGTGACAAGAAGCAAATGACTTTTGAAACAGAAGAAATTTTTCTCTATCGAAATGAATTGGAAAATTAAGATGAAATGGATAATTTCCTAGGGAAATATATATTACCAAAATATACCCAATTAAAATTAGAAAGCTTAAACAGACCAATTTCCATACAAGAAATAGAATCATTGAGAATAACCCCACAAAAAAGAAAAAGACCCCAATGCTTTCCCATGAGGATTCTACCAAACCCTTAAAGATAAGATAGTTCCAATGTTCTACATATTGTTTCAGAGCACAGAGAATAAAGGAAAGCTTCTTAATTACTTTTATGATACAAAACCTGATAGTCAGTACAAGAATGAAAATAATGTACCATGACTGAGTGGAATTTATTCCAGGAATATAGGTCAGTATTAAGAAATTCATTAGTATCATATACCAGATTAATATATTTACCAAAAAAAAAAAAAAAACCCTACACATATGATTATTTCTACAGATGGGGAAGAAGCCATTGACAAAATTTAACAACCATTCATGACAAAACTTCTCAATAAAATAAAATAAAAATTGAAGGATACTGTCTTAACTACTACTACACACACACACACACACACACACAAATGTGTTTTAATACTTTAGTTCTAAAACCAGTATCTTATTTAATGGGAAAACACTAGTGACATTTCTACTCATATGAGAGTGAAGCAAACAAACACAAAAAAATAGAGATCCTGAGAAACAGAACAATTTAAATTTCCCACTGTCCTTTAATTGCTTTTGTAATTCAAAATTGCAAGCTGAAGTGAAAGCTCTCTCACCAGTGCCCTCTCCTACTGGGTGTCCAGTTTGAATAGCAGTTAGAGACAGATTCCTCAAGCTCTGCAGTGGATACTAATAACAGAGTGGCTCTTAATGTTGTCACTTGTTTAAGTACTGAGAGGAGCCATTTTGAGTCATTGTGAGATGAAGGAAAAAGGAAAAGAAAGGAGGAAGGGAAAAATAGAGGGTGAGAGAGGAAGAAAGGGAGAGAGAGCAAGCTAGTTGTGAGGATATCTGGTTATCAGAAGCAGAACAATCTGACCAGGACATGGGCCAGTGATAAACAGTATGGTCAGGTCCCTTCACTTGAGTGAAGGAACCCACTGTAGTAGGCTCAAGCTAACTGCGATTTCATACAGTCTAGTGAGGTCCACTTGCCTCTTGCAGCAAATAAAACAAGCTGTCTGCAATAATGAGCTGTTCTGAGCCCTCTGCCAGGCAATGTTGTCTAAAGCAAATCCCTGTGAATTTGGAAGAGTTGCTGGGGTTGATACTACTTCCCCTCCCTGTCTCTTTTCTCTTATCCCCAAAGCTAGAATTGGAGCATTTGAAGGAGAAAAACAATTAAATTGTACATCCCAATATTCTATCATGGCAGAGAATATTGTACTGTTTTACACGCAAAGGCCAGGTTATGGAATGAGAGAAGTGAAAATGGGGCTGAGCTCATCACAATGCATGATAAATCCTGAGCATTTCTCCCTCAGTAAGAGGTTAAGTGGATTACTCAAGGTCTTCCAGCTACCTGAATATGCAACTGTCAGGACTCACTCACTATCTTATTTTTCACTTACCCCCCTCCATTAACACCTTTAACAATCCTATAATATCTAACCCCTCACATCTGCTTATTTTTTTTGCCACTAAAACATGAGCTTTAGAAAGCTGGAGGTTCTATTTTTAACTCAGCTGCGCAGAGAAGAAAAAGTAATATCTTTTCGTCACCCATCACAAGGGTCATGACTGACACCCCTATAACAAAAGATAGATTAATAAGAGAAAAGCATAACAAATTTATTTAAGAAAGTTTTACTTGACATAGGAACCTGCGTAAATGAAGACCAAAAGACCCAGGGAAAACCATATTTTTTACGTTAAGTCTGATGAAAGAAATAAATGGTTGTGGAGAAACGTGATTTGACAAAAAGGAGTATGATCTAATAGTAACAAACTAGGGGGAACTCAGAAAGGCCTGTTTGTTCAAATTCTTTTCTGTCTGTATATGACATTCCTTATGGGACAGGACACCTGTCACAAAGGATCTTTAGGGTAGAAGAGAGATCAGAGACCCACCTTTCTAGGTTTTATGGCTTGCATGTAGGGAGAATTCTAGTTTTTATAACCTGCCTCTGGGTAGACAAGGAGGTGGAAGAAAGGAGGGTGGGAGAAGGTGAGAGAGAGATTTCCAATGGACTATTTTTGGGGGTAGCATTTTCTGAGCCTCAACAGTACAAATATACACCTGATATAAGTCATAAAATTGTCACTTAAGTAATATTTCCTCAAAAAATTTTATGTAATTAGTTGAACTGAAAATGAAAAATGATCTAATTTCCCCCAAAGTGGATAGCATCTTAGAGCAATATGGTAGATCATCAAAGATGGTCATTATATGTCCTCTCGTGCTCTTTAGTACTGTAAATTTTCCACTTGTCCAGTCAAGAGATGGAGTCTTTTACCTCTCTCCTTGAATTTGGACTGGTTTGTGACTTGCTTTGACTAACAGGAGTTGGTGAAAGTGATGCTATGCCAATTGCAGATTTAGACCTTAGGAGACCTTTCAACTTCTATGATTGGTCTCCCTGAATGTTTCAATGAGAGAGACTGTAACACAAGAAAGCTTATATTTCCAATTTGAGGATGAGAACCATGATGCCCCAGCTGATGATCAGAGTCAAATGCTAGACATCTGAGTGGGGATCTTGTACCTTGCAGCCCAGCTGATGCTCCAACTGACAGAAGTTGTATGAGTGACCTCAGGCAAAATCAACAGAGAAATTTCTTTGCAAACCTACAGAATGAAGAGACATAATATTTTGATGTTATTGAAAATCACTATATTTTGAAATGGCTCATTATGCAACAATAGATAACAGACAGATAGAAGCAGAAATATTACTTGCCAGAGCCAGAGTATTATTTTCAGTATTTTTTGTGACAAACAAGTGCAAGTTGTCCCTGTTCAGCTGAGTCTCATGTTGCTGGGAGGTGGAATCATCTGCGATTCTGCAAACATAGTAACAGTGGTACAGATTTTGTTCACTGGGAACAAATTATCTATTTTGTTATCTAAATTTTGAACCCTTTAATGTGCCTTCCCAAAAGTTATCTGGTTGAGGGAAAAAAAATTACAAAAGAAAAACTAACATAGCATGACCTAAAACAATGGAGTGATTTTTTCTCAACCTAAAAATCAGAAAAATAGAACATCTAAGTATCAAACAAGACATTTTAGTTCAATTCTGAGGAGGTGACATTTGAGTATCAACTTGAAGGCAGTGAAAGAGTTTTCTATGCCGTCATTTGGAAGAACAGTAGACCAGGCAGAGGGAGTAGGAAGCCAGCATAAAGGCCCTGGTGGGTGAATGCACTTGTCATATCCATAATGTGATTGACTTCTGATATCCATTTATGGTGAGAACAGTGTAGAATAACACAATTGAAGACAAACTAAACTTTAAGAAATCCCTTATTTTCAGTCTAAAGAGAGATAAAAAGTTGACTCATAAAAAGACAGCTTCTCTCTCATTTCTAATAAACAAATGTTAAACACTTAAAGATCATTGGATTTAAGTATTCAATAGTTCAGAATCTGATTCTAATCTATGTCTTTGTCTGGCTCTAATCTCCACCCTCATGACCTAGCCAGGTCTCTGGGAGTCTAGCCCACGTTTCCTGTTCTGAGGCCTTGCAAGTTTACAAGCAGATACAATTAGTCAATACAACATGCAACTGGAATCTCAAATACCAATTTATTCAGAGGTATCTGGGATTCAGGGTTTAATTTTGCACATCCTGAAAAAATGTCCAGAATGCTACATTGTCTTTCTAAGAAATAATATTTGCATGCTGTAATAAAAAATATAGAACTCTAAATATGACTTATTATTCACTACTAGATACATATTTAGGGCATTTTAAGAGGTTTCTCTTCTAATATTTTTTTCTTTAGAAAAAAGTATCAAATTAATTTCAATATCTAGATTGTTTTTAAAATTAGAGCTGTTTGACAATTTTTTGTGACTTAAAATTCATTCAGAGGTGCTTGCATTGTATAATGCAAAAACATTAATAAGCTATTAAATACTGACAGTGAATGAAATCACTGGGTCATGTATTCATAAAAGTCATGTTTAATAGTAAGAAGTTCCAGTTAATATTACTTAACTAAAACAAAATCTTATTTACTAAAACAAAATACTACTGAACTAAAACAAAACAAATATTTTTTAGTTCTTTATTTCTAATTTTAGCACATTCCTATTTTGACATAATTTATCCTTTTCACCCAATTACTACTATACACAACAAAATTTTTCCAAATTTAAGCCTTTTTTTTTACCACTTATAAAGTATGACTTAATTGTTACTCTTTGAGAGTTTTTTAAAAAGAAATTTGAAATTTTAATTTTCACCTTGAACCTGTTTGATCAAAGTATACTTCACTATCACATGAGTTAAAACAAAGAATGGAGTAAAAGACCAAAAGTGGTATCTATATAATCAGTAAATTCTGTGATAGGACATTCTAACTATTTCACAGTTGTCCTTAACACAAGAATAAACTGGTTCCAAGGTACTATAACATTTGACATTTTTATTGCAAGCTTTAAATAATAGCATCACTCTTCTCAACAACTCATCTGTAAGAAAATGGTGTGTTTGTAAGTACAAAAACTGTTATATCCAGTAGGTGGTATGCTACACAGTCAAGATAAGAGAATTCTTAATAAAATTAGCTTTAAGAACTACAGAATGTTTTGATAATTACCAGCTGTCTCAAAGTCTAAAATCAGAAAAATGCCAAAAATAGAAGTACTCATTGATTAATACTATTTTTCTTTAAAAAATCCAGAAATAATTCTATTCCAAGAAATAAGCAATAATAACAGATGTGATTAATATTAATATACTGTATCTCGTTTAAGCCAAAGCACACTTTTCACCTCAGAGAAGACAATTCTGACTTTTATATTCTTAATATCCTTTGCCTAGAACAGGACCCTATTTTAAACTATTATTTGAATAGAGTTCATAATCTAAAGTCATTTTTCCTCCACAGGATGTTTTAATATTAGTACATAAGCTACAAAATGGCCAATGACTAAGTCAGTTATAAAGAATTTGTATCATAATAAATGCTAATTTACAATAACTTTCAATAGATACCAACACACTTTTACACCCAAGGCTAAAAGTTACTACATTATTGAGGTCAGAACTAACATGATCCTTCCATATGATCAGATTTCATTTATTAAATAAGACTGCCATGAAATTCAACAATAAAGCATTAATGGGTACTTTCAAAGCTATATAATTTTCCAAATGATTTTCTTTTGATTGCAGAACTTATTAATTCCTTCAATACTTTTTTATTCATTTTGCTTTTGCAATATTTTCTGCATGTTTTGTTTCTTCCTTGCTCCTTTTTCTTGGCCTAAATAATTTTGGTCAGTTTCCAGGATAGTGAAGTACTTACTAGGAACAGTGTAGTGCAGGCCAACATATAATAATTGTTATAAGGAAGCCATATGGGTCCTATGCAGCCCAGTCCACAACAAAGTCAATTTAAGCCTTTATATCAAACATTTCTGTAGTAGTTTTAGGAAAACTTCTGCTTGAATAGTGATGTCTAACTTTGTTTTGGGATTATTAGTGAGCCAATCACACTTTCAGACAACCCTTGGTCTTCTTTAGTTCCACTGTACATTTCTGAGAAAAGGTTTAAATTCCTAAAGGGGCTGCTGGTCCACAGAAGCCATGTTCACCCCTACCCCTCAGCCTTGGCAAGCACCATGGCTCCTTGTCCTGGCCCAAAGAGCCCAGCATCTCTGGGTATACAGAGAATCCCTGCCACACTTGTGCTGTCGCTGCCTTGGCTGTGCACGGGGACAAAAATCACAGCAGCTGGGACCATCAGCCTCCCCTACATTGTGCCAGGGGTCTGGACTCTCACTCCCCTCTTCTAATATTTTCCTAATGTTTTAATGTGTCTAGTAACCGAAATAACGCCTTTTAAAAAGAAATTAAATACTTTAGATCATTTCTTTTTATGAAAATATATGCTATGTTAAAGATTTCAAAGATATGGATAAGCAAAAATAAGATATATAATTCTGCTACTCAAAGATACAGTTTCTACTTTATATCATTCCATTATTGAACATATATTTATCAATAAATATATGACAAAATTGGCTCTAACTCTGCACTATTTTGTAACCCATTGTCTTACCTCATTGATATATCATGAAATTTCATCGTTGATAAATATATGCCTATATTATCATTTTAATGGCTACACACTAGTCCCTTATTTAACCAATACTCTATTGTTGAACATTAAGTTTGATTCTGTAAATATAGAATGGTTATCACAGAGTGTTGTTTCCATATTTATATCCATGACTATTTTCCAAAGATCAATTTCTGGAAGTGGTTTAACAGGACAGATATTATTTACATGCACTAACAGAACATGCAATTGCAGAGTCATTTTGCCATATCACTAAAATTGTTTTTAATCATTTACAATTAAAATTATTTTTCAAGTTTTGGAATTCTTTTTTATTTATTGCCAATGAAATAGGTAATAGAGTTTGAAGAAAAAATGGTGGACTAGAGGGCATCAGCCAGCTCATCATTCCTAGGGAAGGAGGTGAAGAGTACAGGCAGCTGTCTATGTTTGGATCGCTCGCTCTGGAAGCAGTATTGTGAATTCACCGAGAAGCAACATGGCACACTAGTGTGGAAAAAAGGTGATGGGGAGATACATATACAAAGATTAGAGAATTAGAGGAGAACAATGAAGAATAGAGCACAGAAGGGCCATGCTTGTCTTGCCGGTACAGTGCGATCCAACCTCCAAGAAGATATCCACCACCCCTACAGACCTCCTACCCATTCAGACAGGGACATACCTGGAATTGGTGCAAGCCATTGCACTAGATAACAGACTCTCTGGAGAACAGGCAATAGCTGTGTCCATCCTGGACTCTAGGATGTGCAGTGCTGGGACCACACTGGGCTGGGGAGGGACTGGACTGACTTATGGCTTCCCTGAGCCATACCAGGAATTTGAAGCTAGCACTTCACCCCTAGAGATCACCAGGACCTAGGCATGGGAATTGACTGGAGAGCGGCATGTGCTGACCTGAGGGGCTCTGGGCCACTGCTTCAGCAAGTTCTGGGCTGAACATGGAGGGCTGAGACCTCTGCAGTCTAACCTGGAATCTGGGGGTACCTAGTGCCTCAGAGGCAGCCTACAGCCTGCCAGGCCCTAACCCCACCCTCCTAATCCAGTTGCACCACCATTTGCACGGCCCCAACTTCAGAGCCCTCAGTCAGAGCCTTTGCTTCTGGCTCCACCCCAGTTCTGGATTGGATGCTCTCACACTGGGGCACAGAAGGGTCTACCCTGAGAGGCCTCAGGCAGTCGTTTCAGCAGGCTCTGGGCGGAATGATGAGAGCTGCATTCTCTACATGTCTAAAATTGAAGCAGTAATAAAAAACCTTCCTAAAAAAATAGTCCCAGACCAGACAGTTTCACACCTGAATTCTACCAGACCTACAAAGAAGAATAGGTGCCTATCCTGCAGAAATAATTCCACAATATTGAGAAGGAAGGAATCCTCCCCAACATGTTTTATGAAGCCAACATCACCCTAATACCAAAGCCAGGAAAGGACTCAAAAAAAAAAAAAAGGGAAACTATAGACCAATATCCTTTATGAACATAGATGCAAAAATTCTCAATTAGCAAATCAAATTCAGATGCTCGTCAAAAATAATCAATCCATCACAACCAAGTGGGCTTCATCCCAGAGATGCAGAGATGGTTCAACATATGCAAATCTATAAAATGTAATTCACTACATAAACAGAAGCACAAACAAAGACCATATGACCCGCTCAATTGACACAGAAAAGGCATATGACAAAATTGAGCACCATTTTATGATAAGAACACTTAACAAAATAGGCATAGATGGGAGTGACCTAAA